AGTGGCTCAGTTGGTTAAAAGCGCGAGCTCTGAGCAACAGGGTTGCTGGTTTGATTCCCACATGGGTCACTGAGCTGCACCGGAGCTTAGCTGCCGCTCAGCTGCCAACAGGTGGCACGATGGCTCAGCTGGTGAGAGCATGTGCTCCTTACAACAAGGTTGCCTGTTTGAGATGGTGGGCTGTGCTCCCCCGCAACTAAAGACTGAACTCGGCACCTTGAGCTGAGCTGCTGCCGGGGTGGCTCAGGGGATAGAGCGCGTGCTCTTAAGAAGGCTGCCAGTTTGACTCCCGCATGGGGTGGTGATTACACCCACTCGCAACTAAGACTGAACTCGGCACCTTGAGCTGAGCTGCCCTGAGCTGCCAACGGGCAGCCGGATGCCTCAGTTCTTAGAGCATGCGCTCTTAGCAATAAGTCTGCTGGTTTGACTCCCATATGGGATGGTAGGCTGTGCCCACCCACAACTAAGATTGAACACGACACCTTGAGCTGAGAGGCCGCGAGCTGCCAACGGGCAGCTGGATGGTGACTGGACTTGAAACTGAGCTAGCTGTGCCCTCTACACCTAAGATTGAAGGAAAACAACTTGGCTGTTTCCCTTCCCCAATTCCCCAATAAAAATCTTGGGGGAAAAAAAAGCCCTTCTCTGAAAACATGGATGAGATACTTTTTTTTTTTTTAAGATTTTTTTGGGGAATTGGGGGAGGGGAACAGACAAATTGCTGTCTTTTTGCTCTTCAGTCTAGTTGTGGAGGATGTTGCTTCACTGGCCCATGTTGGTATTATCATTGCACTCTTCCCGGGTGAGGCAGTCACTCACCGGCCATTGGACAGTCACTCAAGGTGGCTGGCTCATGGCAGCTCACAAAAGCTCATGCCCGCTGCCGGCCAGCCCCACTGCAGTCTATGCTGTTGCCGGTGACTCATGGCAGCCCAGCTCCAGGTCGAGCTGTTGTTCACCATCTTAGCTGTAGAGGGTGGAGGGTCACTGGCCCTCATATGTTGGATCCGAACCGGGGTCCTGCTGGCTCAGAGCTGGCATCCCAAGCCCAACTCCTAACCAACGTGCCCCTCAGCTGGCCCAAGATACTTATTAATATGGCATATTTCTGCATATAACAGGACCAGATCCATTTATCAAATACTTAATTGAGAATCTACTATGTGCCAGGCAGTTTGGAAACATCAGTGATTAAAGACGACCTTCATAGACCAGTTCTTTAGTCACAGGTGCTGAAGAGCAAAGTCAGCAAGAGACCAAAAGGCACAGGCAATTGTAGACTTGTAATACATTTTATAAGATGGTAACTACTCCATTGGGTAATAGTGATCAGTAAGAGAAAATTTATGGAGTGTGGGGTCCTTTATGGAAGCATTAAATATGTTCATATTCTTATGGTGTTACATTCCTTCAGATGTTAACTAGGAGCAATGTGTCTTTACAGAATGCCATTTGTGAAGTTACTGTTTTCTTTTCTGTCCTGTTTTATCCCATAGGTCTGATTTAAGCCAGAGTGATCCTGTTCAGGATCACTTGTTATTTAAGAAGACTCTCCTGCCAGTCTGGAAGATGATCGCCAGTCACAGGTAAGTCTCCAAGCCATTCTTGGCATTCACAGCCACTCTTATTTAGAGTGACTTTCCAGGGTTTCTTCTTCCATTCTGGGTTTGTCCCCTAACAGGTTCAGCAGTCCATTTCTGAAGCCTGTGTCAGAAAGGCAGGCCCCAGGATACAAGGATGTGGTGAAAAGGTCAGTGGAAAAGGGGTCAAGATAGGTTGGTTGCTTTTATATCTGTCTTTCCATGCTTTTATTTCCCATCTATTAAATTATTTCTTATTTCATTTACATTTCTTACAAACTCAAGCTGTATTTTACAGCTGAACAAGTTTGTAAGGTTATGGTGAGTTCAGTCTGCATTTGAGAAGGAATGCAGGGAACAAAAGGATGATACAGACTCTATTTTTTCAGTGTTGATTTTTAAGTAATATGATCCATTCATTATGATCTATGTTAGCCTTTGGTAGTTTTGACACTGTTCTTTGGAGCAAAACTTTAAAAGGAACACTGTATTCATTCTGGCCGTTACAGGTACTTGTATGCTAAGGCAAAGATGATAATCCAAATGATGTTACCAACATTGGTTGATTGCAGCATTTTTTATTTTTTAACATATTTCATCTAAAATGCTGTCACAAATCAGTGTGTTAATAGAGTATAAAAGGTCAGGAAAGAACGTTTGGAGACAGACTCGTTCTATAGTTGAGGAAGCTAAAACTCAGAGGTGGTCATGACTTGTCTGTGATTAACAGCAACTAGCAGAGCTGGAGCTAAACCCCAGATTCTTACCTCCAGTTCAGTTGTCTCTCTACACTGCTGTGCCTTCTCTTTTATACCCACTCTCTGTGTCTCATTAATAATTTGTCTTAATATTTGCTTGATTCTCACTCTTTTCATCTCTGTGAAAGGAGAAAAAATTATTAGCTTTTGATTATGCAGTAAGAGAAGTAGGTTAATACCTAGTATATGGCTACTAATTGTAAACAATCAGTCAGTAACTACCATGTGACAAACTGATTGTTGGAGTTCTTTACAACTTTGGTACCTACAATAGTAGAGTGCAGTGGCTGGGCCTGTGGGCTCTGGAGTCAGGCCGTCTCTGAATTGGAATCCAAGCTGTGTGACCTTGAGCAAGTACTTAACCTCTTTAGATCTTGGTTCCCTCACTGCCAATTGGTGATAATAATGGTACATACTTTATGGGTTAATTGGGAGGTTTATGTAAGTTAATATAGAAAGTACCTAACATAGTGCTTAGCCTATTGTAAGTGGTCCAATGTTAACTGCTATTGCTTTTTTATTAACTGACAAGGATTGTTATCTTTATTATTTTCATTAAGAGCTAGTCTTCCAAGAGAGCATGTTAGGTTCCCATGCGTTCCACATGAAGGTTTGATTTTCTCTGGTTTCTCTTGGCCACCTGTAGACCCATGGACTTAACAACCCTGAAAAGGAATCTGTCTAAGGGACGGATTCGCACCATGGCACAGTTCCAGCGGGACCTGATGCTGATGTTCCAGAATGCTGTGATGTACAATGACTCTGATCATCATGTGTACCATATGGCTGTAGAGATGCAGCGAGAAGTCTTGGAACAGATTCAGGTACTGTACATAGACAGTTGCATGAAAAAGGAGTGTAATCTCTGGAATCTGATTTAGAAATTTTGAGAATAGGGATGATGTTAAAGTGTTTCCAGAGTTTATGTTTAGAGGTGATTCAAGGCCCTGAAGGACTTACATTGTACCTACTGGTTTGGAAAACCCGGAGCCTCAGTAGGACCAGCATTAATAGTGAAGGAAAGTAGTCTAGGAAGGCAGGCAGCTGAAGAGCTCTGAAGAGAGCTGTAATGGTAATGGAAGCTCCTGTTTCCAGAGCCTCAAGCCAGAGGGCTCAACGTGCAAATCAGAGACTGGAGTCACGGTCCATTTCTTGGTTGCTACACCTGTTGATATTAATGTATGTTCACACTGTCCCATCAATAGGGGGTAAGACATAGTAACCAGAAGACATTTGAGGGTTTCTTTTCTGGGCAGCATCATATTTTAAAGAAATAAGCATAGTCAAATCTAACTGCGGAAATATAAAATTGCATTCAAACCTCTGTAGCTTTTAAGATTCATAGCTTGCTTCTGCCTTGACCCTATAGGTGCTGAGTATTTGGTTAGACAAAAGAAGAGATGTAAATAGTCCGGAATGAGAATCAGCCAACCCAGTGCATGATGGAAAACCTGTTTTGTTATCCTGGAGCTGCTACCCTGACCTTTTATGAAATTTGGACCTCTCATTGAGACTCTAACCCAGAGAAGGTCCCAACACTTGTTTATCATTTCTCATTATTTTTTTATTGTTTTCTAATAAGGCCTTAACTCACAACCAAAGGTGCCTGCGGATATAATACAAGGAAAAAGGGGAAAGCTGTGATTTGGGGCTGTGTCATAAATGTTGCCCATATCTTTTTGTTTCATAGGCTTAATTTAGAGGTAACTGATTAAACCTCTTATTAATGCTCTATAAATAAATGTTATTCTACAAGTTGAAGATTGCTTTTTAATGATTACAGAGGCTGGGAATAGAGGGGGTAGCATCATCTGGTGAAATGAGGAAGGTATTTTGACATGAGTTTTCTTGGGTTTGTTTTTTTTTTTAAGATTTTATTGGGGAATTGGGGGAGGGGAACAGCATTGGGGAATCAGGGAAGGGGAACAGACAAGTTGCTGTCCTTTTGTTCTTCAGTCTAGTTGTGGAGGACATCACTTCACTGGCCCATGTTGGTATTATCATTGCGCTCTTCCCCGGTGAGGCAATCGGTGGCCGGCCACTGGACGGCTGCTCACAGCGGCTCTTGGCAGCTCATGCCACTGCCTGCTGCTCACGTTGGCTGCCAGCCACACATGGTAGCTTATGGCAGCCCACTGCAGACTCACAGCAGCCCAGCTCCAGGTCGAGCTGTTGTTCACCACCTTAGTTGTAGAGGGCACAGTGTCACTGGCCCTAATGTGGGATCCGAACCGGGGCCCTGCGCTCAGAGCTGGCATCCCAAGCCAGCTCTTAATCAACGCGCTACTTGGCTGGCCCATGAGTTTTCTTAATATATGGTCTGGAAAGTGATGGGGTGGAATGAGGGGAGAGTGATTATGATTTGTCTCTTCATTTATAAAATGGAGATAATTGAAGCATCCTTAAAATGAGTAGGAGGGTGAAATAAGATAAATTATGAGGAAACTGTAAGAAAGTATCCAGTGCTTTAAGATTCTTAAAGGGAATAAAAATACCTGTGGCTGGCTCCTTTTCTTGATCTAAGGGAACCAGCCAGTGGCCAGTGGCTGTGAAGTGCGCTGCTGAGATTGGCCCTCTGCAGCCACCGTCCCTAAGCTGGGCTTCAGGTCTCCTAGCAACAAGCTGTGTTAGCACCTGAGGAGTGAGTCCTGAGGTGAGTACCCCACTAGGGTTGGACTCGGAATATGCGGTGCAGCCGGGAGAGGTCCGGGGACTTAGGGATCCTACTTTCCAACCAGACCTGACCCTCTGCTTAGTAGTCCGGACGGGACGGGGCCGTTCAACCTGCAGCTGGAGAATCGCGGAGAGATTACAACCTGTTTCCTGCTGCTACCTTTTAGAGTTTGCGCCAGTCCCAGGCCTTCGGATTGCTCTGTGACTTCTCCACCTTGATGAAGATGTTTAGGAAAACCCAAGCTACGATTTAGCCGCAGAATAGAAATCGTATTACAGTCATACTTTATTTTATTGTGCTTTGAGCTTTATGCGATTCACAGGTATTGGCGTGTTTTACAAACTGAAGGCGAGACCCTCCACCAGCAAAAAGATAACGACTCGTTTACTGCGATCGAGACAGAACCTGCTATATTTCCGAGGTATGCCTGTATTGAGACTCTGCTTATAGAAAAAGATACTGCAGTTTCTAACTTTACAAATTAATAAAATCAAGCGCCCAATAATGTTTTTAATCATAATTACATTAAATTTGAGGTTGGGGTTGCATATCATTGCAGTTGATACCTGTCAAGAATCTCTTAAATTGTACCCTGAAAACCCACAATGGAGTTGTCGATGCCCCCACCTCAGATATATGTAGAAAAAACTCTGGCCATTATCAAACCAGATATTGTTGACAAAGAGGAGGAGATACAAGATATTATTCTCAGATCTGGATTCACCATTGTTCAGGTAACTTCTGGACATGATCATTGTGTTTTCTCTCATTGATCCTTTTTTTTTTAATGTTTATGTAAATGTGTTAACCTATTTAGATCCATAGTATTTAGCATTAAATTTAGGTTTATTTTTCTAACTATAAAAGTTATATGTGATAGTTTTAAAAAGTTTTGTCACACTTCAAAAGTACATAAAATGAGAAGTAAAATTCCTTTTCCCTCCACCTGTCCTCTCCTACCCCACGTCCCAGTCTCCAGAGGGAGGCAACTATTACTTAACACTTTCTGTTCTTCCAGGATTTTTCTATGCATTCAAGACATTTCCGCCCCATAAAATAGGACAGTCCCCCACCTTTGACCCCATTTACAAAGTATCTCAGATATCAATTTCAGATCAGTACATCTGAATCTATCTCATTCTTCCTAACTTTTGTGTTATATACCCCTGTGTGGATGAACCACAGTTTGTTTACTTGGTCCTTTATTGATGGACTTTGAGACTTTTGGTCTCATTACAAACATTATTACAAACATTTAATGTTTTAAGCCTTACACTTGCTCTGCAGTTGGTACAGGTTTGAAAATGAATGTAAAAAGAGTTGTTAAGATTATCAGATAGAATTGAATATATTTAATCTTCCTTTTTTGTACCATCCTCATTTGAAATTTCAGTTTTTATTCTCTTATATAGTGTTATATTGCTTATTTAGTCAGTGTTTTAAAAACAAAAAAAGAAAACTTCAATCCTCAGGGAAGATTGGATTTTGGCTGAACATAGGTAGAGGCTGAGGGTAAGAAACTGTAAGGAAATAGTACAGGAAAGTATAAGGAAATATTTAATATAGTAATTAAAAGTTCCAGGTAAAAATGAACGTTTTAATGAATGTTGTTAGGAAAACGAGGTAGCCATTAAAAAAAAAGTTGTATTCCAGTACTATACTATATAAACTGGGATGAACTCCAAATGGATTGGAATTTTAAATATTAAAAAAATTAAACCATATAAATTCTAGAAGAAAAGATGGAGATTAATTTCTTTATTCTTGGGACAGCCTTTTTTACTATGACTTATTCTAAGAACTATGAAAGAAAAGATTGATAAGACTATAAACATAAAAAAGTTCTGCATGGCCAAATAAAAACCATAAGTGAAGTCAAAACACAAATGACAAACTTGGAAAAAACATTTGCAGTTCATATTGCAGACAGAGCGCTAATCTCCCTAACATATGAAGAGCTCCTAGAAAAAGATAAAAGTTCAGTTGAAAATGGGCAGAACATGTGGATGATCACAGAAAAAGAAAACAGATGCTTTTTTTAAAATTAGTTTTAGGTGTACAACACAGTGCAATAGTTATACTTTTTACCCCTCAAAGTGACAGTCCCCCTCCCCGAATCCGCCGCCCCACTCCCCCCTCCCCCCATATCATACATATCTATTACAATTCCATTTACTCAACTCCCACACTATACTCCACATCCTGTGTCTATATATATATTCAATTATAGTTGACATACAATATTATACAACATCAGCTTCAGGTGTATAGTGCAGTGATCAAGCCTCTATCCCATCCATGAAGTGGTCTCCCTAACAAGACATGTGACCATCTGACACCCTACAAAATATTTACAACATTATTAATAGATGCTTCTTGAACATATGAAAAGATGCTCGATATCTAAGTAGGAAAAAAGCAAATCAAAATGACATTGAGCTACTATCTGGCAAAAATATAAAAGTGAACGGCACAACCCCTGTGGAAGGGAACCTGACAATTATCTATCAGTATTACAGATGCATATATTTACCCTTTGATCCAGCAGTCCTTCTGGGAATTCCACCTATAGTCTGTGTATTAATATGAAGTGACATATATACAGGTTACTTTTTGCAGCACTGTTTATTTACCAGCAAAAGATTAAAAGCAATCCAGTATTAGAATTGTTAAATCAACTCTGGCAAATCCACCAAATTGAATACTATGCATCTAACTGTAAAAAGAAGAATAAGAAAACTCTCTGTGTCCTGTTATGGAAAAAAGATCAAATGTAGAGCAATGTGTAGCAATCTTTGGTGATAGAAAGAAAAACGTATTCATGTTTGCCAGTGTTTGCAAAATGAAACACTAGGATAAAGAAGCTTTAAAAAAAAATGGTTGCCTATTGAGGACAAGAACAGCATTAGGACAGGGATGGGAATGAGATTTTTCAATATATACCTTTTTTATATTGCTTTGAATTTTTTAGTCCTGTAAGTAGATTACCGATTACTTTTAGAAAAAAAATTAAATGAAGTATACGAATAAGATGAAGATATGCTATTTAAGTTTTTAAAAAGTCCATATTTTAAGAAGAATTCATGACAAACAATATTGAAGTGGTTAGTGTTAATCATAAATTAAAAAATTAATATAAATACTAATATTTTGCATTTTACCTAATGACCAATGAATTTCAGACCAAAGAAGGCTTTTTTGTTTTGTTTTAATTGATTTAATTGTGGTAAAATACATACAGCTTATTTTAACCATTTTTAGGTGTAGAGTTCAGTGTAATTAAGTACATTCACATAATTGTGATACCATCACCACCATCCATCTCTAGAACGTCTACATCATCTTGAACTGAAACTACCTATTAAACACTATCTCCCTGTTTATACCTCTTCCCAGCCCCTGGTAACCAGTATTCTACTTTCTATCATTATGATTTTGACTATTCCAGATATCTCATGTAAATGGAAACATAATAATAGTCCTTTGTATTGTATGCTTTTAAAGTAGGCTTTTAGTTGGGAGTCTGCTGAACTTGAGGCTTTGTTGTCCCATCTAGGGAAAGCCTCCTGAAAAATGATATATCCTTTCAGTAGGTGGCAGCCTTTCCTTTGTTACAAACTAATGGTACCTTTCTGATATTACATAATATTATTGCTTCTCTTTGAGAAAATATTCATCCAAATTCCAAAAAAATTTTACCTGATCTAATTTTAAAGCAAACAAGGAAATCCTTGATTCAGTATTTAGTTTAAGATGAGTCCTTAATTTTTATAATTGTGCTGCATTAGGTAGCACAAACAGGAAGCTTCCCATTTGTTAAGGGGCATGTGTCAGATAAGGGCTTATATTGCAACAGAAGAGATTTTTAGTTTTTAACCCAGCAACAACAACAACAAAAACCCCATACCAATGTGCATAAGAATCACAAATACTGGCATGTCTTAATTTTAAATAATAGAATCAAGGATTATATTATATCCAGTGTATTATAACTTCTCAAAATTGTTCTATTTCTTGACTATATGAATTTCAATATGAGAACAGATGTTGGAACCTTTTTTTATGGTAACTGGTTCTTGACTGGTGAGAATGTTATGTTTTTACAATAGGAAGTGTTCATGCAATGCTCTGACCCACCTAGGTAAGTGAGCATCTTCCCAAGCTTCTTGCTCTGCGCAGTTTATGTCTCTTGCTACAAACCAAGCAATTTTACCAAGTTTCTGAAACCTGAGAACTCATAGTTTTGGAAGGGGCTTTGATTAAGAGGTAGGTCACTTGGTAAAATTCATACTGTACTCTCAGGAAAATCTAATCCATTTTAGAAGGATGGATTTCTGCCTTAATTTAGCCTTCACCTTGAAACTTATTATCTCCATGTCTCATCATCCTTATTCTAGCCAAAGGTCTTCCTTGACGTCTACTTGTACTTTGAATCCTGTTGTTCTATTCTGTGCATTTTTCCTCATGATCCATTTGTAGTGGAACTGAAAAACAGTAGTAATGTATGATTTTTTAAAAGCGTTCAAGTAGCTGCTTTTAGGGAAAACATGATGCTTTTCAAAAAATTGGAAGAATGACTGACTCAACTTCTATGATTTTTAAAAATTTAATGATTCATTCATATAGTCTTTTATTTGTGAAGAAAATAACATTTGTCTGAAACATTTCATATTCTTTCAAATTGAGAAACTTAATGCCAACTAATTTTTCTTAAGATCACAGTACACCCACATGTTTATGGCAGAACCAGAATAAAGAATACACAGCTTTCATGTTCAAGTGAAAAACTTATTTACTGCATCATTATACTGCAATGAGTATACTGCATTGTACTGCAATATCAGTACCACAATGAGATCAGCTCCCTAAAATAATGTAGGAAAATTTCACAATAAATAGGAAAAGGCCACAAATAGGAAAAGATGAATTTGGAATATTCTAAAGTCTGATTTTGTTACTTTAATGTATACAAAGTATATATCAACAAAATATTGATGGTTGGAGTGTTTTTACTTTAAAAAGGAGATAAGATGAATTTGTCATTAACAAACCATATGTTGAAGGAGACAGCTAGACGGGAATAGTTTTTTTAAATAGGTTAAATAAATCTTATAATTTTATTTACAGCCTGCAATTTTCTTATCTCACCCTTTCTTCATAATACAACAGTAAATGTTAAATTTATAGTAAGATTGTTACTTATTTCAAGTTTTAATGACTTAATGAGGTATTAGCGAACTGTCATTTTAAATGCTTTTGTTGACTTTGTTTCTCTTATAGAGAAGAAAACTACATCTCAGCCCTGAGCAATGTAGTAACTTTTATGTGGAAGAGTATGGGAAAATGTTTTTCCCTAATTTAACAGCCTACATGAGTTCTGGACCACTTGTTGCTATGATATTAGCTAGACATAAAGCCATCTCTTACTGGAAAGAACTTTTGGGACCAAGTAATAGCTTAGTAGCTAAGGAGACACACCCAGACAGGTAACTTTCCTAGGGGAAAAATGGAATACAACTATGAAAATGAAAAAAAAAAATCTGAGTTCATTGTAATAGGAATTTCCTTTCTTTTGAAAATTTTCCTAAATCCACTGTTTTCGTGTGTGTGTGTGTGTGTGTAGGTCCATTTCATGTTTTAACCATTAAATGTCTATCTTAATACCAGTACCACAAAAGGTCTCAGAGAATGCTTTGTGGTTGATTAACCTTATTCTCTCATCCTGGAATTAAACTGCCACTGAAGTAGGATTATTCATGGGAAAATTGGTATGGTATTTTATTATTATTATTTTTTAAGCTGAGCCATCCTGCCACCTGTTGGCAGCTCAACGGCTGCTCAGCTCGGGCCAGGAATTGAACCGCTGTTGCTCAGAGCTCAAACTCTTGCGCAAGCTCTTAATCAACTGAGCCACTCGGCCGGCCCTTGGTATGGTATTTTAAAAGAATATTGATAACACAGGACCAGAAATTCAGATTTTCAGCATTACATTAATGTCTGGAAACTGGAGGACATTAAGTTCTTGCACTTTTGAATACATTGCTTTTTCACTTCTCACAAAACAACACCTCTTTTTCACCCAGACAACTTAGATATTTTCCCAGTGTATTCCTCCTGTAGAGTTAAATATATTTGACCCTCATCTAGGTAGATTTGGACTTAAATGTAAAAATAGCTTAAAACCTCCTGTGAGGTTTTAATAGCTTAAAAACTTGTGAGAAGTGGCAATGCTTATGTAAAATACCTAAGTAGAATGAATATGTAAAAAGCAAGAAAAGGATATCAGATTGGATGGTCATCATCTCTTACTTGCTTTCAGTCTAAGAGCAGTTTATGGCACAGATGACCTAAGGAATGCACTTCATGGGAGTAATGATTTTGTTGCAGCAGAAAGAGAAATTCGATTCATGTTTCCTAGAGGTGAGTTACAGGTGACTAATTGATCAATTGCATCTCTTTATTGTTTGCTTTTTCTTTTATTTTGGGATGTAGCTGGGAAGGAAGATAAAAGGGTGTTTCTCCAATATATTTTTTCATATTTTCAAGTTGTAGTTACTTAAAAACTGGAAGCCAAGAATGGAAAACTCATTTCCCACACAACTAAATTGTGCCTTCTAGAAAATCTTTTGAGTACAGTTTACTTTTTTCCTTTCTTTTCTTTTGGATGAGACGTATTTAGTGTTTCTCTTCTTCTGTGTTGTAATTCCTTTTGGTTATCCCAACTGCATCAGTGAAGTTTGTTACACATGAAAAAAGAATCTCCCTCAGAAATTTTGATTGATTTACCATTTTCTCTAACAGTTTACTATTTGCCTGACAAACACTCATGTAGTTGTGAAATTAATAATTTTCAGGCCTTTTTTTATTTCCTTCCTGTTATAGAGGTTATAAATCTTTTAGAAGTGGGCATAACGAGGACAACAGAGAATTTTAACTTGTTTTCACTATTTTAGAGCAGAAAGAAAATTTGGGGATTTTCATTATAAAGAAAAAAATGGAAAGCATTGGGTAGTTTTGCAATTTTGGGTTTTTTTGCGTGTTATTTTTCTCTAACTCATTTAGACCTGTTTCTCAGTATTTTCTACTGAAGAATGTATTTAAAGAAATCTGAAACTGTCTTGGAGATTTAAAAGTCCTGATTCTTAAACAAAAACTGTTTTGTAGATATTTGTACACAAGAGGATTTGCCTCTTATTTTATTTTTATTGATCTTAATTTCTGACATATACATTCCATTAAGGTATCTTTTTCTTCAGGACTGTTTACTGTGGAAAATTTCAAACATACACAAAAGTAGACAGAATAGTATAACAAACCTCTAATCAATCCATCAACCAATTTTAACAGTTGTGATCAGTCTTATTTCATCTCTAGCCCCTGCTTTTACTTCTCTTGCTTCCATATTAGTCTGAAGCACATCTCAAACATGAGATTCTTTTTAATGCGGTAGCACTCTAGGTTTAGTTCTACTAGTGAATTAGACTTTTCCTCTTTAACTTTTAACTAAAATAGGATACAAACTCACTGTAACTTAAGTAGAAGATCTATTTGGAAGCTTCTTACTCATTGGGTTATATCCCTAAACTGTTATTTTAGATTGCCTTTGATTTTACTCATTAATTAATTCTCTATAAATATAAGTGAATAATTATCTACTGCTGTGGGAATATGAAGTTATTTGGAGTAAGCTCTCAAGAGTTTGTGGCATGAGCTCAGTCTTATTTAGCAGTCAGTCAAGAACTATGTCCAGAATCCTATATGATGAATAGCTAAAGCAAGTTATAAAGATATTCAAAGACATGTTCCTAACTCTTGAAAAAGGTAGTGCTGTTCCCTTTTTAAGTAGATTTGGCTAATTCAAAGCTTTGCTATATTCCATCATTCAACAAATTTGCCAGCTTAATAAATATAAAGACAAGAAGATGTCCCTGCTGTCAAGATGATCATATTTTAAAAGTCTATAAAAATAAATATACAATGCAATATATAAATTATAAATGTCACTAAAAAGCAGTGACAATCCATCTATTTAACATGGAAACATTATTCTCTCATTAATTCATCCAGCCCTAGGTGCCTGAGACAAATAATAAATGGTTAGCAAAAATAGATGAGGTAGAAACAGACAATTCAAAAATGAAGTTAAGGAAATAATTTCATAATAGCATCAAAAACAATAATATATTTAGGAATAAATTTAACAAATGTGCAGTTCTACACTGAAAATCACAAAACATTGCTGAGAGAAATTAAATAATATCTAAAGAATAACTAAGTAGGCACTCTGTGTTTATGGATCAGGAGAGTCAATATTGTTAAGATGGCATTTGTCTCTAAATTGATCAATAAATTTAATGCTGTCCCTATCAGAGCTCATTCATGCATTTATGTAGAAATTGACAAGCTGATTCTAAAATTTGTGTGGAATTGCAAAGAGTCTAGAAAAGCTAAAACAATTTTTAAAAAGAAGGACAAAGTTGGGAGTTAGACTTCCACTAACCTGATTTCAAAACTTACTATGAAGCCACAATAAGTAAGACCATGTGACACTGATATAAGAATAGACATATAAATCAGTGGGACAGAATTGAGAATCTAGAAATAAATCTTACATTTATGGTCAATTGATTTTTGACAAAAGTGCCTAGACAATTTTATGGAAAAGGATGGTCTTTTCAACAAATGATGCTGGGACAATTAGATATCTACATGCAAAAAAAAAAAAAAAAGAGAGACTCTTGTTTCATACCATACACAAAATTTAACTCAACATGGATCATAGACCTAAACATAAGAGCTAAAAGCATGTAAAAGAAAACAGGAGAAAATCTTTATGACCTTGAGTTCGATAAAGAGTTCTTATATATGACATCAAAAGCATGACCTGTAGGGCCGGCCGAGTGGCACGTTGGTTAAGAGTTGGCTTGGGACGCCAGCTCTGAGCAGCAGGGCCCCAGTTCGGATCCCACATTAGGGCCAGNCTTCACTGGCCCATGTTGGTATTATCATTGTGCTCTTCCCGGGTGAGGCAGATCGGTCGCCAGTCATTGACCGGCCACTTACAGTGCCTCCTGGCAGCTCACACTGGCTGCCAGCCGCTCACGCTGGCTGTCAGCCACTCACGTAGCTCACGGCAACCCACTGCAGCCCCCGCTGCAGCCTACGCCATCGCCGGCGACCCACAGCAGCCCAGCTCCAGGTCAAGCTGCCGTTCATTATCTTAGCTGTAGAGGGCGAGCATCACTGGCCCTCAATGTGGGATCTGAGCCACAGCCCTGCTGCTCAGAGCTGGCGCTCCCAAGCGAGCTCCTAACCAGCTGAGCCACTCGGCCGGTCCCTTTGGGATTTTTTAAATATAGGAGCATGTCATCTGTGAATGGACATAGTTTTACTTCTTCCTTTCCAATTTGGATCTATATTTGACAATCTTGCATGATATAAAACTACTGTTTCACTTTTTAGTGGTCATTTTCCTTACAAAGTGATTTTGAACACTGTTTTAAGTTTTAAATTGATATAGTATATATTGAAGAACATATTTAAATATTTATTAACTTAAGGTTTTTTTCTTTTTTTCCATAGATTTGGCTGGCCGATTGGCTGTTGAAAAATAATCCTAACAAACCTAAACTTTGTTACCATCCAGTTGCAGAAGAACTTAATTAAAATAAAGTCCTCCAAAGAACAAATCATGAACAATCTCATTGTAAAAGGCATGCTTCTACTTAAAAAAACAAACAAACAGACAAACCATAATTCCTAAAGGTTTAAGCAACTACATGTGAAATAAATTATTTCTTAAAAATAAGTTTTAAAAGAATAACTATTTTGTGCAGTAGGTAACATTATCTATGGTAAAATATAGGTTTACAGTATGATTTTTTGTTTTAAAGGTTTTATTGGGGAAGAGTAACAGTGTTGGGGAATTGGGTAAGGGGAACAGACAAATTGCTGTCCTTTTGTTCTTCAGTTTAGTTGTGGAGGACATCGCTTCACTCGCCCATGTTGGTGTGATCATTGCATTATTCCCGGGTAAGGCAGATTGGTCACTTGGCATTGGACGGCAGCTCACGGCAGCTCATGCCGGCTGCTGGCCGCTCAATGCTGTCTGCCAGCCACTCATGGTAGCTTAAAGCTGCAGCCTACACCGACCCTGGCGACTCACAGCAGCCCAGCTCCAGGTTGAGCTGTTGTTCACCATCTTAACTCTGGAGGGCGCAGCATCACTGGCCCTCATGTGGGACCTGAACCTGGGCCCTTCTGCTCAGAGCTGGCACTCCCAAGCCAANCTGTAGAGGGCAGTGTCACTGGCCCTCATATGTGGGATCCAAACCGGGGCCCTCTGGCGTCCCAAGCCAGTTCTTAACCATTGCGCCACTCGGCTGGCCCAGGAAGTGACTTTTTAGCTGAGATCCAAGGGATAAGTAGTGGTCAACCAGAACAAAAAGAAGAAAGAACCTTCTTGCAGAAGGAACAGCTGTGCTCAAGTCATGAGCAGGAAAGATCATGGCACATTCTATAAACTAAAAGAAGATCAGGAGTAAAAGAAACATAAGATGAGGTTGGAGAGGTAAGTAGAGGTCACATGGTCTTATGGGCTATGGTGTGGTGTTCTGTCTTGACTATAAATGCAATGAAGGGCCAGTGGAGCATTTTAAGGACGGGAGTGATGTAATCAGATTTTCATTTTTAAAATATTGCAGAGGGCCTGGGCACAGGGAACAGTGAACATGATAAACATGGTCTTAACTTCCATGGAACTTATGAAGTAAAAGAGACAGATGACACATATATAACCAAAATTAAGCAATTGTTATATGAAAGGTGCCATCATGAGAATGATAAAGAAACCTTTTACTGAAGACCTACGAGATTTCTTCCAGCTTTTCCTGGTGTCCTGAGAAAGGACTCCCATTATTAGTCTTTGTCTCATTGAGACTGAGCCTGTATACTAGTCATACAGAAATCTATCCTCCCACCCTTTTTCCCTTGGGCCAATGAGGATTTAAATTTGAACACGTGGGACCAGTAACTTCCCTTTCTCACCTTTATCAAAAGTGACACGCTGATGGAGATCAACCTCAAAAGACCTACTAAGACTTATAAAATACTTACAAAACATATTTTTTGTTGTATTGCAAATCTGGTTCACCTACATAGAGTTCAAATAAGGCTGAAAAGACTAAAATTTTCCAAAGCTCTATATAATTTGTTTAAAAACCTGAAAAATAAGAGCAGGAATATATAACGTCTACATGTTCTATAGACAGACATAGATTTTATGTGTATATTCAGTAGTCTATAAGAGCAAAAACTATGTCTTATTCACTATTGTATCTGTACCACTTTGCAAAATCCCTGCCATTTTGATGGCAGGAATTAATTGTTGAAATAAATTAATCTCTTATTTTACATATTCATATTTTCCTTTTCTATAACATTGTTATAATATTCACTAAAAAACGTGGAAATGGAAATGCAGAAACGAATATAGTTGAAAACAATCAGAACCTTATACATGGTCATTATTAGCATTTTGATGTTTCTTGCCAGCCTTATTATTTTTTATGTGTATGATTGTGTGTTTTAGAACAAATTATTATGCTATCTATCTACTTCTGTTCCCTTAAAAAAATTTTAAGTATTTCTCATACCATTAAAATTGCTTTGAAGTTATCCTCTTTAATGACTTCATAATATTTCATCATTTATGTTAGCTTTAATGGGAATACATTTGTATTTTCAGTGATTATTGAGCCCATTCCAGTTGGACAAGCTGCTAAGGACTATTTAAATTTATATGTAACACCAACTCTACTTGAAGGACTTACAGAGCTTTGTAAGCAAAAACCAGCAGATCCTTATGTAAGAAATCTTTATTCATGCTAAAGAATATTGTCTATGGTTGTCATGTATGTAAAATTCTTAGTCAAAGTATCTGGTGCATATTAGGGGCTATTGTTATTTTTTTCTAATTGTTTCCTTTGCTCAGGTTTTGTCTTTATATAACTATATACATAAACAAATATCCCATTATTGTTGCTATATTTAAATATTATATTATAGAGATTATTTTAATAGTTATATTATTTTTCTTATATTACCTTTACCATTCTTCTTTAGCTGTTATAAACACTGTAACAATAAACATCAATAAACAATTAACAATAAACATAAAGCATAAAGCTTTTCTCACATTGAGATTATTTCATTTGGAAAGAGACCAGAAAGTACAATTATAATGCACAACATTAAAAATTTTAGAAATTTGACCCTTAAGGAACTTGCTTTTATTTTTTAATTGTTAATAATTTTTTTAATAAGTAATATTTAAATATGGTATAATTCAAAAGTTACAAAAGGCTATATAGTGAAAAGTAGTTGTCCTTGCCATCCTGTTCCTCAGCCACCCAGTTGTACTCTTTGGAGTCAATCACTGTTACCAGCCTCTAGTACAGTGGTTCTCAACCTAGGGGTTGCCTAAGACCATTGGAAAACACATATTTTCGATGGTCTTAGGAACCGAGACACCGCTCCTCTATCCGTCTCCATGCTTCAAGACAAAATTTCATTTATTTGTAATTAGAAATATTTCACAATATATAATTACATATTTTTTTGTGATTAATCACTATGCTTTAATTATGTTCAATTTGTAACAATGAAAATACATCCTGCATATCAAATACTTACATTACGATTCATAACTAGCAAAATTACAGTTATAGAGTAGCAACGCAAATAATTTTATGGTTGGGGATCACCACAACATGAACTGTATTAAAGGGTCACGGCATTAGGAAGGTTGAGACCCACTGCTGTAGTATATCCTGTACAGAAAACCTTCACATATATAAGCATATATATAGCTATATATACTTACAAACACACATGCAAGTGCTAGCTCCTAAACTATTTTATACTTTTTACCTTATTTACTTGATATATAATAAATTATTAGATAGCCCCACAAACAGAATTGCTCTATTTTTAAAAAACAGCTCATGGCATTCTGTTGTATGCATATTCTACAATTTATTATTAATAATTAGTCACATATAGATGATTGGTTAAGGTATTTCTACTCTTTTATTATTACAAATTGCTACAGTGAATATCTTCATTTATGATAAATTTGAGCAAATGGAAATACTGAGTCAAAAAGAATGTTATTTTAATGTTTTTGATATGTGCGTCTTTAATTTGGATAAATATTGCCAAGTTACCTTTTGTAGTGGTTGTACCATTTTATCCAACCAAAAATAATTGAGAGTACTTGATTTTTTTTCAAGCTTTGTGGTTTTTGCCAATCTGATAGGTTAGAAATGGTATCTCATAGTTTATATATTTTTTTGTTATGAGTGAGCCTGAGTGTCTTTTCATATATGCTATGAAAGATGTTTGCATTTCTTTTCCTATGAACTTCCTGCTCATGCCCTTTGTCCTTTTTTTTTTTTTTTTCAAAAACTAGATCAGGTCTGTGCTCCCATGAAGTTTAGAGTCTAGCGTTTGAAAGGTAGCCTTTAAACAGTAATTATCCAAATCATTGACTAGTTNCGTAAAGCTACTGTGAGTGGCCGGCAGCCTGCGTGAGCTGCCAAGAGCTGCTGTGAGTGGCCGTCCAGTGGCCGGCGACTACTCTGCTTCACCCATGAAGAACAAAAGGACAGCAACTTGTCTGTTCCCCTTCCCCAATTCCCCAATGCTGTTCCCCTCCCCCAATTCCCCAATAAAATCTTTAAAAAGAAAAAGAAAATATTGATAAATTGGACTACATCAAAATTAGAAGCCTTTTAAGCAAAATACAATATACAGTTTGGTTCCTAATGGCTTTAAAATATGGACTTCCCCAATTATTATCCCCATTTTCTATTTTACTGGGTTTCTTTTTTTCTTCTTTTATATTTCTTTTCCTTTTTGGGGGTCTAATAAGGTTTCGACTGAAATACAATCCTGATTTTATTGAAGTCTATATTAGTATGAATCATTTTCATTAAAATACCAAAGAAAACAGTTCCCTCCCCCCAAAAAATTAGCCTTTGTGCTTCGAAAGCCATTATTATGAATATGAAACTATAAGCCACAGATTGGAAGAAAATATTTGCAAATCATGTATCAGATAAAGAACTTGTATCCAGAGTATATAAAAAACTCTTATAATTCAATAATAACAGAAACAACCCAATTAAAAGCTTGGCAAAAATTTTGAATAGTCATTTTGCAAAAGAAGATGTATGGCTAACTTGCACATGAAAAAGTGCTCAACATAATCATTGGATAAATGCAAATTAAAATCACAATGAGATATCATGGCATACCCAATTGAATGGCTGTAATCAATAGTAAGAATATAGCAATATTGGGATCCTCATACATTACTGTACAACACTAGACACTTTGGAAAAGTTTGGCGATTTCTTAAAATGTTAAACTTACCAGGTAACTCCACTACCAGTTCTACTCCTACTGGAATTTGCTCACCCAAAAGAAATGAAAACCTCCATCTACATAAATACACATGTGAATCTGTATAGCAGCATTATTTAATACAGCCCAAAACTGAAAAAAATCCAACTGTACATCAATGGATAAATAAAATTTAGTATAGCCATACAATGGAATACTACTTAACAGGAACTACTGATACATGCTACAACAAGGATGAACCTCAAAACATTATGCAAGTGAAAGAATCCAGGCACAAAAGACTACATATAATATCCACTTATATGAAATGCCCAGAAAAGGCAAATTGTTAGAAACAGAAAAAAGCTCAGTGGTTTCCAGGGAGTGGAAGTGGGAGCAGGAAATTGCAAATGGGCACAAGGAAACATTTTTCGAGTGATTGAAGTGTTCTAAAACGATTATAGTGACGATCGTACAATTATAAGTTTATTAAAAATCAATTGTATACTTCAATGGGTGAATTTTACAATATGTAAATTACACCTCAAAACTTAAAAAATAAATTACAAAAACTAGATCAGGTCTGTGCTCCCATGAAGTTTAGAGTCTAGCGTTTGAAAGGTAGCCTTTAAACAGTAATTATCCAAATCATTGACTAGTTATTGTATGTTAAGAGCTATACAAGGCACTTGTAGGTTATCATGAGAGCCTATGAGAAAGGCCTGACTGAGGAAGTGACTTTTTTTTTTTTAAAGATTTTTATTGGGGAATTGGGGAATGGGAACAGCACTGGGGAATTGGGGGAAGGGGAACAGACAAGTTGCTG